TTCTCCCAAACAGGGTGTAATGCCTTGAATAAATATGGAAGTGCAAGATTTATTTTTTCATTTGAACTCTTGCACAGTGTAGTTGTTCCCTTCAGAAGTGGGGGAGAGCTTGCCTTTTGGTGAAAGTCCATCTGCCCCATGCAATACCAGTCAAATTTCCTGAAGATTTTGCTGCTACTCTTTCCTGCTCCCTGCCAGTTTCTTCTGGAAGCTGCTTTGCTGAAAGATTATTCCTTGCAGCGTGGCTTAATTTTCCAGGCAGTCCTCTGAGAAAGCTGCTCCTGGGCTGCTGGTATTACTTGTTCCAACAAGTTTCTTCTGCTCCATCTAATCCTGAACAGCTTTTGTTGTATATGCCTGCCCATCTTGGTAAACTTGTAAATCACCTCAGTCTTTGCTTTTTAGAGAACTAGGATTTTTTTCTTCTGGGCTGCCACTGAAAGATTACAGAAAGGAAAATATTCTTCCTAAAATACAGCTCCCTGTGTGCCGAGCTTGACGTCTGTGCTCACATGTGCCTTCTGGAAGGGGATTGCTGGGGAAATGTTTTAGCTCCCTGGCTCTGAAGCAGTTGTTTACTTGCTGGAGTATAACTCTGCAGAATCTCTGCTCTGAAGACTTCTTCCTGAAGCCTTTGGAGCCAAGTGGCCGGGTGAGTGCTGAGACAGGCACTGACAAATGCAGCAGGCGGGGCATTCTCCTCTTGCAACCTCTGAAGAATGCCATGGCAAATGATAATTCGGCACAATTATAGGCCCGAATTTGGAACATGGCCCTGTACTGGGATGTGACCATGTTCTTTGTATGCCTCCAAGGCAGTGAGTGTGTATTACAGGCAGCTGCAGTGATTTTTTTTTTTTTTTTTTTTTCTGTCACGCATTCTTGAGAATTTTTATTAAGAAATGTGGTGCTTCTGTGGTTTGTAGTAGGAACTTGACAATTTCTGGGAGAATGGCCCTGGTGCTAGGGAGCAGTGATTGAAAATCCAGGCAAATGTGGGCAAGCACAAAATTTTCAAGGATAGCTACTGTTTCTTGTGTCTTTCTCAGCATAGCTTGTGCTTGACCCCAGGTACTCTGCTAACACAGTTCACGTACCACTGCTGCGTGATCCAGCTCTTCTGGGCAGGGCACAAGCCGCCTTCTGTTTCTGTCACATGGGTGCTTAAAAGAAAGTACATCACAGGAAGGTGAGTGTAAGCTTGTTTTTAGTCTGAGGAACCTTGAAGTCTGAACAAACTATTCTGAATGTTCTGACCTGCTATGAGTTAAACTTCAGTTTTATGGAAGATAACCTCAGCCTTACCTACAAAGCCATACAGTCCCCTGGAAAGGCTGTCACTGTCATTCTGTCTTCTGTATGACCCACTTGTGCATTTTCTGTAGTATCTTGGTGTCTATGGCAGTTGTCCAGAGGGCTGACTGGATGGGATAATTGCTTGGCTGTGCTGCCAGCTCCCGTGGCTAATTCCCCATCCTGAGACCAAAGCACTGTTCAGTGCTGGGCAGGGTCTGCAGCAGCACTGATGCTGGTGTGGGGGCAGGTCTGGTGTGATGGCAAGGAGTGTTCCTGTCCTTTAAAGAGGGCTGGGAGATTTGATCAAAGAAGACTTAATGTTGTGGTAACTGAGATTTAGAAAATAGTTTGTGCATGTTGCTAGCCACACTTCTATGGCTGGTCCATATATCCTAGCTTGTACACACAGTGGTTGAGACCTAATGAGTGGTCCATCCTTTAGTGTACAATAAGTGTCTCTAGCAAACTTTTTTTTTGCTTAATATCTGTCATTAATATCAGAACAGTTTTGTCTGTGGCTTACAGGAATCATCTTTGATCTGTGATGGATTAGAGACAGACTGGCTTTTTTTTTTTCACCGCACTAATTAACATACAGCCATAAAGACCTCTATATCTGAATAAACAGCAATAACTACTCCTTAACTAGTTGTTGAAGAGGTCCCTAAGGATTTGAAGGATTCCTGCCTGTGCCTCTTCCTTCAGGTCATGCTTCCTTATGGTCAAAGATGTTACAGAGCCAAGACCTTGTGTGGACTGCAGGTGCTCAGACCATCTGGGATTCTCCCACACTGCTGAAGTTGAGCATCTAAAAAGTTAATGTCATCTGTATGTTTCTGGTTTGAGTTACTTAATATCAGAAAGGAAAGACGTCAGTGTTGCCTGGGTGACTGAACTGTCATTTCCTCTCCTGTCAGGTCTGACCTAGAGTTCTGTGATTATTTTGGCATAATTGATTTGTCCCTCACTTTCTCAATGAGATTTGAGGGTGCCCTCCATATGTTAGGTGTATTAAATCATTCTAGCAGATGCATTCTTGTGCTGGGAACCATGTGGTATGCAAGTGTGAATCTCCCATGCTGTCCCACAGCACCCAGGCGTTGGTTCAGTTGTATTTTGGGACTCCCTGGGCTTGAGTCTCCAGTATGCAGGTATATTACAGCTCTGGGTGCTGTGGCTGCAGTGGTGAGCTGCCTCACAGAGTCTGCAGGAGAGGTGAGAAAGTGATAATTTAGGCATTGCAGTTTTGACAGCTGTTAATCCTCATATAAGAAGTGTTCGGATTTTTTCCTCAGCCTCTAAGTACACATTCTGTTTTCTTTCACAGTTTTTGGTGCTTGACTCCCACAGTGAGGTAGTTTAAAAACTAGACAGAGATAAAGGAGGCAGGAAGAATGATTTTTGAGGAAGAATAGGGTTGGGATAGTGCTCTGAACCAGCTCATAGGGTCACAGATGCTTGTGTTATAGGAGGAGGAGAGTAGATGAGGAAGGAAGGAGTGGTACAGCAATTATCTGTTTCTACAGCTATTAGGCATTATGTCATTTTAGCAATAACATGTAAAAGCACTGTGAGACTGTTTCATAAAAGGTAGCAAGCTTTGCATATCTGTTCATGTGGATCCTAGTCTCATTCCAAGATATCTTATTTCAAGTTGCTTTTCAACAAAGAAACTAGAAAACTAGTTACTAAAATTGTCACAATACCCAAAGTGGTGCTCATTTTCTTGAGGTTTCAGTGTTACTGCACCAGTGCAGAAATGCTTGCACCAGTGTATTATGCTTTTGCTGACACAGGAATTAAAACCTGCCTCTAGCCACGCATGAGAAGAAAACAGAATAAGTCGTGAAATTCTGAAATCCTGAACTATTGGTTTAAAGTTCAGTTTTAGTAAATGGACCTAAAAACGGGTGGTTATGATACTCCAAAGATATACTGTGTGTACAAGCTACTGTGTCATTCCTGATGGGTCTGGGTGTCATCATGAGTTCACAGATTACTTTCAGGAGAAAAAATGACAAATTAGTAACAACCTAGTGGTTCTTATTGATACAGCAGTATGCATTCAAAGTCATGCACATTTACCTGGGAAAAGTGGGGGATTCTTTGGAAATGAAAGTAGCAGCTTTTCAGGAGACAGGGTACCAGTATGAATTAATTTTTTTGAGACTTGAAGGAAAAGAAAACTCTATTTAGAGATGTCAGGCAGGAGTGTTGAATAACTCTTGAAGAGCATTGACTGACACATGTTCCATCTGGCCCTGGCTTCACAGTAACCCTTGGGGTGCTCTCTGAGTAAGAGCGTATATATCCTTTGATACTGATCACAACAAGCAGCCAGTCTTCTCTGAGTCCTCAACAGCCAAAGGTTAAAATGAAAGCTAATGCAGAATGATTCTCACATCTCCTTCCCTCTCCATGAAAACTTTCCACTTTGCCTATATTGTTTATCTACATCTGCCTTGTTCTAGGGTTGTACTTTTGGTGAGGTGGCCAAAATTAGCATGGTGAGGACTTGGCTGAGAGGAAAAGGGTGGGGAGAGGGAAAGCAGCAGGCAGGAAAGAACTGTCTTCAGAGGTGGTGGGAAAGGATGATAAAAGCACAGTTTACTTTGTTCAGAATTAAGAGAGCACGCATGAAAGCTGAAGGCTGATATACCCTTTAGTTTATATGAAAAAGATGTTGGTTTTGGACCGCTGTTATGCTACCAGTGTAGCACCTTTTAATGATATATAATTTGACTATCTGAACAAATTAAATGCAAATATCAAACAAATGCACAACACAGACCTCAAGGGGAGTTTATGGAGGATCTGCTGAAACACTGAGATTGTTGCTTGCTGATTCTAAAATACCATGGAGTTTATCAATTGCAGGATGAAAATTCGGTTTGATGTAGTACAGATATGTTAGTTTGCAGTTTCCAGCAAAGCTAAACTAAAAGAAAGGAGTTGGGAGAGGCAAGGAACGTGTGCCTTGCCAAATGGAAAGATGGGAGAGGCTAAAACTGGCATGTACTGTGTGGGAGTGCACTATCCGCTCCACATTTTACCCCATTAGAAACACACACAGAGGAGAGTGTAATGCCTCCTTGCAGAGTGAGGCTGGCAGGCTCCAGGATTACTAGGGCTCTTGTTCCACAAAGTTTCTCTTGTTTCTCTGGTTTTGGGATGAAGATGGTAATAGGTGTACTGAGTTAGAACTATTTTGCCATTTTTCTTCACCCAGTCTATTTGGTTCACTGCTATGCCGTGCTCAAAAGCTAGCCATGTAAAAATTATAAACTTCATCCAGGCTTATGCTGGCTAATGGGATTGGCAGAGGGTGAGAGCAGCGTTAGCTCAAATTCAGTTAGGCTCATGTTGTTGCAGGCAGTATTTGGGAATTTGCTTACTTGTTCTGTGGTATGCTTAGTTTTTATGGATTCTGTATTGTCTTGAAAAGTTCTTTTGTGTTAATATTTTGCTAGTTGGAAGCTGCTAGTCATCATGGTAGTTTCACACTTGGTGCTGCAGTGAGACATGGCATGGCTTGCTAGTACTGTCAAGCATGTTCAAGCAGAAATAGCAGGTTTTTATGGGGAGGTCTTTGTTATAACTTCATTTTCTGGATACTGTCTAAATGCGTTTATGCTTGAGAGGTTTCTAGGTGGGAGGTATGCCAACTCTCCAGTCCTCATATCTTCTAATTTTTTTTCAGAATTCTATTAGACATAACCTGTCCCTGCACAGCAAGTTTATTAAAGTCCATAATGAAGCCACAGGGAAGAGCTCTTGGTGGATGCTCAATCCAGAGGGTGGTAAAAGTGGAAAAGCACCAAGAAGAAGAGCTGCCTCCATGGACAACAGCAGTAAACTTGCAAAAGTCAGAGGTAAAGCATCCAAAAAGAAGCCTCCTCTCCAGTCTGCTCCAGAATCCACTGCTGACAGTCCTGGCTCCCAATTCCCTAAGTGGCCTGGGAGCCCGTCCTCAAGAAGCAATGAGGACTCTGATGTGTGGAACACCTTCCGGCCTCGAACCAGTTCCAATGCAAGCACCATTAGTGCCAGGCTTTCTCCTATCCTGACGGAGCAGGATGACCTCCACGATGAAGAGCTGCTTCCTTCTCTAGTGTACTCCAGTGCATCCAGCAATGTTCCACCAACCGTGACTGAAGAGCTTGAGCTCATTGATGGGTTAAATTTGATGTCTCCCAGCTCATCTGTGTTATCTACCCAGCAGTCTGCCTCGAGTGGTCAGATCCAGAGAGATTCCAGCTTTTCCTTGCGGAGCCCGAATGCAGCTGGTCAGACCACTACTTTTGGCAATTCCCTCTTTAACCCTGTTGATATCTCACTGCAAAGTTCTGTCAGCCATTTCTCTGCCCCTCAGACCTTGGAAGCACTTCTGACACCCAGCTCACCTCCTCCAAGGGATGTTATGATGACTCAGGTGGATCCAGTTCTCCCGCAGACTGGTAACAGGATGAGCAGCCGAACTCTTCTGCTTCTAGGTGGACAAGCCACCCAGAGTAAGATGAGCTCAGGCAATCCACGAGGAAAGCCTACAGAGCAGCAGGCAGAATCAGTCGGTGCCAGTGTTTTGCCATCAACACTTCCCATAGTAACATCACCTCAAAACACTGCCAGCATCTCCAGTTTGAAGGCTCCAGTTTCTGCCACAACTGCCCAGTCAGTCCAGCTGAGCAGTCCACTACTGCTTTCTTCTGCTAGCCCTGCTCCCTTGGGATTTAACCAGGACAGGCTGCCCACTGATCTGGACATTGACATGTACATGGAGAACCTTGAATGTGATATGGATTACATAATCAACAGTGAACTCATGGATGGAGAAGGACTGGACTTTAATTTTGAACCCATTCTGTCTACTCCCAGCTATCCCAGCACCTCACAGGCCTCCAACCACACCTGGGTACCAAGCTAACTTCAGGAGCACAAAAAGGTAGGTGTAATTATGTAGAATGCTACAGCTCGTTAGTGGGAACAGCCCTGTCTGGGATGGTTTCTGTGCCTAACTCTGCAGCAGTTAAAGATACATCTTTGGAAACACAGGTGCTCCTTAAGTGAAATCTGCTGGGAGAGCCACAGTACCTTTTAGAAGGAGAAAAAGCTGTGTAAAGGTAGGTAGATTTAACTTAGCAGGTAATAAACTCCTTTATGGAGTAGAGCAGCAACCTGAATGAAACTCCTGTTGTCCCTCATTACCAAAGATGACTGTTAGAGGATGTCGGTCTCTTCCATGCAATGCCTATAGCTCTGAAGTGACACAAGAGCATATGCTGATTCCATAAATAAAGACATGATCCTGTATGTACAGAACAGTTGAACTGAGCCAAGCACATGCTATGTTTCTATCCAGGTTATTATTCTTGCAAGATTTTCTATAGTGTTAGTTGCAAAGCTTGTCTGTCATGACTGCCTGCTTTGCCCTGTGTTTAGCAGGACACAATCACTATCAGTTATCAGACCTTCTGCCCTTCCCTTATCTGGGACAGTGTCTGTAAAGTCTGGTAAGCTGGTTCATCAGCATTAAGTACTGAATTGCTTATATACCCATTATTGGAGTGGGAAATAGGAGTATGCAGTGTGAATGGAGGTGGAAGGAGAAGGGATATGTTAATGCTATTCCATGCACAACAAAGCTGCCTCTTCAGTGATCTTTCTTATTTGCACAAAAATTTCTACAATCAGTTTGGTCAGTGTATATGAGAACAAGAGTTAAAAATATTTTATTCTGTGAGGGTGTGACACCCTGATTTGAAGCTCTTTAACCACCGAGGCAGTTGAATTAGAGGGATGGAGATGCAGGCATACTTCGTACTTGGAGCTCAGTTAGCTAATAGAAAATGGACAGTTTCTTTTATGGACTGGAGCATAGGCTGGATATTGAGTGGAAAGTGGAAGCCTTTCTAAGGATATTTCCTGTTTAGAAGGTAGATCCTGTATTTGTTAATATTGCAAATTGTGCTGGTTTTGTCTGGGATAGTTTTCTTCACAGTAGCTGGTATGTGGCTATGTTTTGGATTTGTGCTGAAAACAGTGTTGATAACAGGGATGTTTTAGTTATTGCTGAGCAGTGCTTGCACAGTGTCAAGGCCTTTTCTGCCTCTCACCCCACCCCACCAGCAAGTAGTCTGGGGGTGCACAAGAAGTTGGGAGGGGACACAGCTGGGACAGCTGATCCCAACTGACCCAAGGGACATCCCAGACCATGTGGTGTCATGCTCAGTGTATAAGGCTGGGGGAAGGAGGAGGAAGTGGGGGGACGTTGGGAGCGATGGTGTTTGTCTTCCCAAGTAACCATTACATGTGATGGAACCCGGCTTTCCTGGAGATGGCTGAGCACCTGCTTGCCGATGGCAAGTGGGGAATGAATTCCATGTTTTGCTTTGCTTGCATGCACAGCTTTTGCTTTACTTATTAAACTGTCTTTATCTCAACCCACGAGTTTTCTCACTTTTACCCTTCTCATTCTCTCCCCCATCCTTCTGGGAGGAAGTGAGCAAGCGACTGTGTGGTGTTTCATTGCCTGCTGAGCTTAAACCATGACACAAATTCAGCCTCTAATACTGGCCAGCTGAGCAGGCAGAAGTAAGGGCAAATTGCAGATACTGCTTCAGTTGTGGGAAGCCCTTGGACTTCAGAATGATGGAGACCAAGTGAAGTTATCATGTACTTCACCTTAATGCTCTTTCCTAGGGATCTGAGTAACCTGAAGGTGGTTTAGACTAGGTAGCCTCTGGAGGCCCATTTCAACCTAAATTTTCTGGTGATTTTTGCTGCTGTTCATGCTGGAGACCAGATATTAAGTTAAATACTTTTCTGCTCTGCCCCAGTACAGCCATTCTAGACAACTGTCTTGGGTCTAGATAAAGTGAAATACTGTCATGTGAGCTGGTGGTACCTTAAACCCTGTGCATATACTGATACACCACTCTATATTGTCTTTTTAAACATAATTTAACTCTTATTCCAAGTCCCATCACACTGCTTAGGATTGCATTTATTAGTAACAGTCTTCTGTCTGTATGTAACAAATCTCTTTACTGTAGAGAGAGGGAGGATCAAGCAAACTTTTCTGTTTTGTTATAGGGCTTTTTGTAGTCTTGTACATTTAACTGTGTTCTTGCTGAATTACTGAGTGGCTGTCTTAACTTGAATATCCTAACTTTAGGTGGAATATGGAAACTCAGTTTTGATTTCAAAGACAAATTTGACAAAACGTTAGCATCCTTCATCTGTGTTTGGACTGTTTGCAAGTTGGTGACAGAGGCTGTGGCCTTCTGAGTGGTGTTTCCACTGGATATTGTTCTGAGCTTTTGTATTGGGGTGGGGTTTTTTTCATACCATGCTAGGGCAGGGCATCATATGTGGGGAATACATTACTTAGCAGGGGTGAAATGTTTTTCACAGGAGTATTTTTAAAACATATGCAAGCTGTCCTGCAATCCTGAGTGCATTAATTACTTGGGCTGGATAGACAAGACTGCTGTCTACAGAATACCAGGCATAGATTATTTTAAGAGTGTAAAGCAGAGAAACTGAGGGAATGTTTATCAAAGAGTAGATTCTAGTACTGGTGAGGATGTGGCTATAATGCTTAAGAGGGAGAACATGAGCTGTTAACAGCATGGTTATGTTCTTGCTCCATATTATTATTCCATACTTAGCATGTGAATTGCTTAATCAAAACAGAGGAGCTATATGATGTTGAAAATCCTGGATTTGTTTTGTTCCATGTGTGGAGTTGAAGTGATACTTTGTGGGAAATATGCTGGACACATGCTCACTAAGAAAGGAGAGATCTGGAACAAGTTCTGAACCAGTATTGTGTTTCAGCAGAAAGCGTAGTTCCTGCATGCCTCCCAGTGAACAATTCTGGCAGCAGTACTGCACCTGAAGAAGTGATGCCCTGTTCAGTGTGCTTTGTTTCAAGCCTTTTATTCTGTCCTTAGATTATGTTTGCTTTTTCTGAGCTTTGCAAAGCGTTTCAGTTTTGCCTGTACCCTGGAATCCATGGAGTGGGATGAAGGAGAGCTTTTTCCCCAAAGGAGAGCAAGTACTGTGTAAAATGCTGTGAAGACAGAGGTAGGTCAGAGTTCTAAGAAAGGGAGAACAAGGTGCATGTAGAGGGAAATTGGAGTGTTCCTGGAGGCCAGGAAGGACCTTAAAAAAAGAAGGCAGAATGTTTTCCCAAATCTACAAGTTCCTAAACCAAGTGAGCTGCAAAGATCAGTGTCTGTGAGGAGGTCAAGATTGTGTCATCTCTCCCTTATCTGAATCTGTTACTGCAGTGTGTTACTAGGGTCCCTGTTTGGAAATCACTGTTCAGGGAAAGCATGGATGCCGCTATATATTGTTCCAGTGTGACAAACTATTTTCCTTTCATATCCTTTCAATGACTGTGTTTTTTTCATGTTAAATTCACACTGGCAAAAGTTACTCTGTGTTCACTAACCTAAAACTGTCCTGATTAGTTACAGTGGGTTTAACCTGTAGCCTTCTGGGTCAGTTATGGGTGTAATGCCAAGCATAAACTGTTCATCAATAGATGCCATCTGATTTGAACAACCAGAGTGAAACTGGAGCTGGAGAAATATTTCTGTTTGTGGGCAAGAGAAGATCTTTAGGAATAAGTACTTGGGAAGTCACCAGATAGTTGATGTTACTCATGGTGCTCAAAGCTGACATTACTTTATCCCCTACTTGCAAGCTAAAGAGCTTGTCCACAGTTTCACCAGGAGTCTGTTTGAACTCTGTGTCTCTTTGCTTGGAGATAGAGATCAAACATTGAAACTTTGGCTCTGCCCAGCAGCAATGCAAACCCCACAAACCTAGCATTATGTAGAGAAAGTAAGCCAGTGTTTGAATACTTTCCTTGACTAGGAAAAACTATAAATTCTACAATTTCTACTGCTGTTGTAGCTGTGGCTCTTGTAGTTGTAAACCTGCATTGACTAGTTAAGGCACTGGGTGTGCAAGCTGCACAGAGTGATTTAGGGGAGCCTTAGTGAACAAGGTCATGGAAAAAGGGTAGCCACAGCTGGAATTAGACCATGGCATGCAGGTGCTCAATCATGGGCAACCACTCTTGCCTTCAGCACTTAATGCAAGTGTCCTCCATTCTGGTTGTGGGAAGTGTGGGTGTCTCCCTGGCTGTCCCTGAGCAGCTCAGGGACTTTGGGCTTGCTCATCTACCTCTTATGTATTTCTGCAAGCCAGTAGGAGGAATACCTGGGACTAGAATTGCCTCTTTTGTACAGTGGTACAGTTTGTGCCTCATTGAATATAAAGTGCATCCACTCTTCTGGTGGACATTAGCTAATGATCTTTAGTTCTTCAGTTAGACTCCCTATAGCTTCATAGCCTGGAGGACTCTATCCCTTGCCCAGCTGGGTTGGACTCATGGTTTTCCTGCTGTGCTCTGATTCCCTTTGGTCCAAGCACTATTTTTCTATCTGCCAGAACATTAATGAATAAATAAAATCCCCATCAACTTGCAGTTTCCCTAAGTAGTCTGTTAATTTGGCATCTGTTTTAAGTTACTGTCTTTTCTTGTTCAGGGCTGATTCCATCTTGTAGCTTCTTTCCCTTTCCACAAGTTTATTTCATGTTCAATGTTACTGAATGTAGCTGATGGGATGACCTACATTTCTGCTTCCCGAAGTGGATCGTAGACCTATGGTGAAGGTTTTATGTCAGTGTCTTCAGTCTGCTTAGACCTATTCCAAGGCTTGTTTGAATGAGTTGTGGCAGTTTTGTTGAGGTGAGGCAGACCACCTGAGAAGGGATCTTTAGACTTGTGGGGGAATTGGATACCTAAGAAATGTTTAATTATTTGTAGGTAGATACAGGACTTCTTTAAGTGGGTGAACATAAACGCTTTTAGTATATGGTCTCTAAAAATCCCTTTTCTTAGTCTTTACCAATTAATATCTGTGGTTGCTTAAGGTGAAGAGTAGTTTTCCTCTTCCTTGCTGCTTTCCTGCAATGCCTCTGGTGTTAGCCAAGTCCTTCTTTAAAAACCTCCTTATCTTGCAGAGCTGTGGTGCTGTCAGCTTACAGGAGGAGTGCTTACTTCTGACCTTTGCACTTTTGTCTTTGTCTCAATCATACTCTGAATCTTGGAGCTGAGCAGTTGCATCCTCCACTTGACTCTCCATTGATCAAGGTATCTGGTGACCTGTGATTGTTCCTTGCTGGAAGTTGGCATCCTTTGAGCAGCAGGGGCTGAATGATAGTAATTAACTCCTTATCCATGTGTCCAGAATGTCCACTGAAGCTGAGACCTAACATTCACTCTATTTTTCTTCTTCCTAGTGTCCTTCAGGTTTTGAACATTGGGTTCTGACTTCACTTATCACCCCTGGCAGAGAAAAGATGAAGCACGTTGGATTCGGTTTCCCTGCACACCACACCTTGGGCAGAAGGGGCTGCCCACCTGGGAAGAAGGGACAACCTGCATCTGGCTGCAACAGGAAGAGTTTAAAAATAATAATCCTGTTATGTGCCACAGCTCTTCCTACAAACCTGACCCTGCCTTGGACCATTTGGAGAAACCCTGGACTGTACATGTCCAAAGAGGAGCCTGGGTAAAAACCTCAGCCGGAAGACTCTGTGCCAGGCAATAGCATTTTCCCATGTGAAGAGTTGGGTTTGCTGGAGGAATCTCAATGGCTATCCTCTATCTGCTATGGCAGAAAGTCTCCCGGTGCCTCAAGACTGGCAGAGGGCTGGCTGTGCTCTCACTTGGCTTGCCCTCTGGGACGAAGTAGTTGGATGTTTTGATTAAGCCACCAGATGTGCACTTGGTATCCCACAGACTCGCAGAGGGATTGGAAGGAGTTTGTTGGTGGAAGCCTTGTGGGAAAAGGGTGCGCTGTTTCAGGGGTTGGTTTCAGTGTGCCTGTCGCTGGAGTACCCATCGTCGTTCTGCAGGAGGGTGGTGATCATGGTGTAGAAGGCTTCCTCTTGTCCACCTGAGTGGAACAGGAGGACATCGAGTTTTTCACTGTGCCAACTGAGCCCCATTGAATCAGAAGCATGTTTCGCGAAGTCCCTATGCTGTTCTCAGCACTTTCCCGATACACCAGGCTGCTGTAAAATAAGCACAGGTGCTAATAGCTCTTTCTGGGACATAAAAACATCATTTAGGGTTTGTTTCTGATCTGTCTTGCTACAGCAGAGAAATGGAAAGCCTGGGTGTGGCCTTAACAGAGCCCTGGTTGCTTTTCAGAAGGGCATTTTCTATAGATGAAATATTTTTTTACAAATCTGGGAACTTTCTACAGTGAATATGAAGCCAATGTTAAGTGTGTCCCCATTAGGCGTATTAGGCATCTCTCCCTCTGAGAAGGTACCAGTGACAGACTTCTTTTTCAGAGCTGTATTAGGAACAAATGCATTTGATGTTTGATAATGTATATGATTGAGGGGAAAGAATTGGCAGGTCCCCATGGTTTCAAACCACCTTGGGGAGGAATTGTACATTATTGTAATCTATATGTAAAAGTAGCTGCAAATTACATAGAAGCTTTTCTAAACATTTTTAAATATATATTATATATTTTAATTGAAAATGAGATTATTGGATTAAAAAAAACCCCACCCACATTTGCTGCATCTGTCCCCTTGATACCAGATAACACTACAGTATGGGAGGGGACAGCCCTAAGGCATTTTGGGCAAAAAAGCTGAAAATGTCATTAGAAAAGTGGGAAGGGCACCACAGTGTAACTGGGGAATGGCTGCTCTCCCCAGAACAGGCAGAAGGCGCCTGCATGGCATGGCACTCCGCCACAGCTACTCAGTCTCTCTCCTTGACTGGGCACTCCCACCGAGCCAAAAGCACGATGTTAGGGAATGCTAATCATTAACAGCGCGCTCATTCTCAGCTAATCCCTTAAGTAGCTGGACTGCAGCTGATACATAGAACAGATTCCCTAGTCTGCTAAGAAGATGGTGTGGACTGGAGCATGCTAGATCTGCTGACACTCTGGGTAGCCCTTATGGGGGGCACAATCAGTTGTATTTGGTAGCTTATTTTTTTGGTTTTCGAAGGTTTTTATTTTATTGCTGAAGTTTTGCTACTGCTGGGGAACTTGAAGCCAGTAGGCACACCCTTGGAGATGTGCCTGGGATCTTGCCCTGTCTCTTTGTTCTTGCAGGACAAAAGCTAGGAGTCAAGTGGTTAGTTCAAAGCATTAGCTGACATGTTCTTGTCACCTTTTTGGTGTTTGCAGTGGCAGGATCTGTGGGAGATGTGGTGCTTTCATGGTGTCCCAGTAGGCTTGGTCTGGCAGAAAGCCTCCAATCTTTCTGAAGATGGTGGTGGCTTCTGTTCAGGTTTGCATCGTGCGGTGCAATGAGCCATACTGTTCTATCACCTTGTCTGCTCTGTTTTCATGGGTTTCATTTCATTTTCATTTGAGTGGAGATTGGAACAGGAGTGGTTTTTCTAGTTACTTGCAACAAGGAGTCTTCAACAGTCTTATCTTTAGCATGCTCTGCCATCAGAGCCTTTGAATAGTTTGATAATCTTTGCTTTGAAGGCTGCCTTCATGGCAGACCTCAGTGATATGTTTCAAATTTACCCACAATCTGCATGTCTGGCCACACCTCATTGTAATAAACAAAAAGGCAGATCCTAAACTGGGATCCCAGATCTTGCAGACTTGAGTCATGGATGCACATTCTCACTGCAGTTAGTTTGATACACAAATGGATAGATACCCTTTCCACAAACACCTGATGGCATGTGCCTCACATAAGAATCAGCCATTCTGGGCTGCAACTAATAGATCTGGTGGGATTTGTGTTATTGGTCACATAATATGCCACCTCGTCAGCTTGGGCCCTGAGGAGAAATGAATCCTGTGATCTCCAGAGCAAGTTGATGCTGCATGTGCTTTGCAGCCATGTATCAAAGGACAAGACACCGGTATTTGTGGCCGTGTTATGTGTGAATCTCTAGCTCATTTCTCATGAAAAGGGAGCTCAGCATTAGGAAGGACAATATTAGTAACCAGTGTTTCAGAACTGTAATCCAAGGTGAGTTGTTTCTGGGTGGGTTGGTCTGTGGGGAAGGCTGTTCCAAGGTGTCCCCTAGGTGTGACAGCACTGGGGACCTGGCCTGACCTCTGGCTGCAAAGACCCTGGGGACATAGGACATGCTCTCAGCTACTGCACATCCTCAGCCTGTTCCAGCTGAAGGAGCTGCAGCCCAGGTACACCAAGGGTCATCATGTTGGTGCCCTACAGTGTGAGTTCATAAGAGACCTCATCCTTTTATTAAGGAATGGAGCGCCTGTATTCCCCCACCTCCATATTCCCAGGCCAGACCCCTGGGGAATTGCCTGTGCTGGAGACAGGAGCACCTCTGGCTGGAGTCCTGCTGTACCAGTTGCTGACAGTGACATCTCTGTCTTGCAGCAGTCTGTGCAGGTGCTCTCTGTCTCCTCAACACAACAGGAGCTGACAGTGGTTGAAGAAGCCTGAGAGCACACTAGTGCTGAGGATGGTGTTTGGAAGACGAACAGTGCTCTGGGTGTGCTCAATAAACCATGAATGTAATGTTGCAGGCTCAGGCAAGCAGCTTAGCTTCTCATTTGTATGTGTAGCAGGATACCTTGGATCATAGGCACAGAGGGCAGAGATGCAGAGAATTTGGGACTTTTCCAGCCCCTTCTCAAATAACTTCCTTTTCATAAACCTTGAACTTTTCTAGCCTGGAATATTTTCTCATAGGACGTAGGAAACTTTAAAGTTCCTAAACTGCTGCTTGCTGACAGGGGGCTGCTCAGTACTTGTCCAGTTTTTTGTATTCTTGCCCAAAGTGTTTGCTGCTGGATTCAGGATAGTGTCTTGGTGGATCTTTGTTCTGCATTAGCGGCACAGGCCCTGTACTTGTGGACTATTTTTTGCCCTAATGAAGGATTGGGCTGGGATTTTGACAACAGTTGTGAGCTGGGTGGGGAGGGAGGGGTCCAATGACATGGGGAGTGATGCTCCTGGATAAGTGCCTGAGGGGAGCGGGCAGGGGACTCCTGGCATGAAGCCTTACATTGCGCTGTGTGCATTTTCCTTGTCCTCACTGAGCTCGGGTAACAAGTTTCTTCATCTCCAGAAGATCAAATGCCATCTTTCACAGCGTAAAGCCATCATGCAGCTCTGGGCCACGAAGGATTTGGGTAACTAGGCCTGTGGAGCCTAGTAGGAGGTGGACGTTGCTTTTATTTACACCTGGGTTTAGCAAATTGCTTGAGCCTTCTTTATACCTTAAGCACTATACTCCCAGCTTCCTGTGAGAGTTTGGGAATATTGAAAGCTTGTTGGAGCCCTTAATTTTCCTTGTTGGTGTGTCTAAAACATGTCATCCACTACCCTGTGCTGCTTTAAAAAAAGCAGTCAAATCATCCTGGTAAGTGAGAGGGATGAAAGCAGTGGGAGCATTCCAGAGCCCTGGTGTATTCATAAACAAGGCTCATACTAGAAGCAAGTAGCACTAATCAGCTTTTCCAAAGGAAATGCCTAGAAAGCTTTTATGTAGATCATCATTTGTTAATTTTCTTACTTATTTGCTTATTTATAGCCACACTCAAATGCTTCAGGGCTAGCCTTGCTCCAGGAATGAGAAACCTGTGTCTGGTACCATGGTTAGGAGTACCTTGGGAGTGGTGTCCTGGATTGTCACCAAAATAATGTTTAAGTTTGGATCCATTATCAAAAAAACCACAACAAATCAACTTTGGGACATGAGCGTGAACAAGGATAGCTTAGGGTTTGCCTCAGTTGCATGTCTAATGAAAACCATGTTCTAATTAATGTGGGGGAAAGCGAGAAGGAGGTGATTCCTGAAGCCTGAAAGGTCTGTCCATGTGAAAGCTTGGCAGCATGTGGTAACCCATCACCACAGTTGCTCACCCTCCAAGAAAGGGATCCTCTCCAGTAGCCTTTATGTCTCTCCCCACACCCCAGTGTGTCCATAGTTGATGGAGAACAATCTCTGATGTAATCAAAATTGCATCTATATTGTGGTATAAAGCAGGGACAAGAGGCAGCAGAAGCTGAAGGTTAAAGAGCTGAGGGTGTTGCATTTATGGTTCTCTGGCTAAGGCAGCATTATGGTGTGTGGTAGAACTGGATGTTTGCAGCTGGTTCCGTGGTGCTCGGTGTGGTGCTACCCTGTGGTGCTCCCCAAGGTGCCTTGAGAGGTTTGGCTATGTAGGAGATGGGTCACTTCACCTGAAAGGAACCTTCTTCATAAGGCAAGGGGGATGGTTCTGTGAAATGATGCTTCCAGCACAGTGGAGTCTTCATCTGGTGCGATCACAGGAAAGGTTTCTGCATTGCTAGCACAGACGTCTGCTGCACACAGGGCAGGCATCACTAGCTGACATAGTTTCCACCCCATCCCCTCTGCACTCTTTCACCCATTTCTCACAATAAATTTTTTTACATAATAAATCTCTGCTTTTGTTTGCTCTCTGTAGCAGTGTAACTTCTGAACCATTACAGGCTCTTTGTTACCATCTGTGCTAGCAAGACTGTAGAATGTGCTAGACTAGGGGGGAATGTTTGACAAATAAAAACCTGTAATCCTCTGCTCTGTCTCATGCGGTTTGTTCTGTTTCCCGGGTGAGGACCAGTTATTTTTTTCCTTGCTCTTGGCTTCTTTCCTCTACCCTTCTCACCTGTTAGGACAACTCCTTGGTGAAATGCCCCTTAGCTGGCCATGGGTGGAAGAGTTGTGGTGTGACAGCCCACAAAGGCTCCAGCATGCTCTGCAGGGTGTAGGGCCCCTTGTTACAGCTGACAGCGCCTGGGGACCCATGGGGTTACCAAGCCCTGGAACTGACCTGGAGAGTTTTAACCTCTGCAGGACTAGTCTGGAGTCATCATAGCCCCTTCATTCTTTGCCCTTCTAGACCTGAGTGCAGAAGATTACTCTTATTTTTTTTATAGCTACATTCAAACATCTGAGTGTCAGCAACTGTACCAGTTATCTCTAGGAATAGAGATGGATTTGCTGCTACTGTCTTTTCAGCCATCCCATTCACAAGCAGATGCTGACAATTAGGACAGATAAGCATGTATGTGAGCTTTTATCTTTGTTTGCATACCCCAAATCCTCCATCAGAAGAAGGAAAGTTACTATAGCTGGGGAGCATTTTTGATACTAGAAAATACTGGCTTGGAGATGCCCATCCAAGGGGACATGAATATCAGTGGAAGCCAGGAGCTGATCATTCCTTGGGACTGCTCAGAGGTGGGTAAGTGGGTAAGAAGCCTCTCTAGGCTGGGGAAGTTTCAGCTAGGTACCTTAAGGGGTCCTCCTTTGACATAAGGCAAGTATGAATGAAGATACAGTCTGAGCCAGCAAAGCAGCTTGCAAGGAACAACGTGGTGGAGTTCTCAAGTCAAAACAGCATGACGTTCCAGCAGGTCTGCCTTCTTGCAGCTGGGATGAGGCTGGAGAATGCGCTGTCCCCCTCTGCCCTGGGGGTGCTTTGTGCACCACAGTGGTCTTACAGAAGATGGAACTGATTCAGAGCCATGGTCATGCTCATTGGAGTTGAGGCAGGTAAGATACCAGAGAAAACGGGGGAAGGAGTGTAGAGCATGGATTCCACTGGCCTGGTTAGACATGTGGAGATTAAGTTGGGAATGCTTTTAAAACTGCTGTGGAAAAATCTTCATTCAGGAAATTGCACAGTATGTGTACGGCCAGAAAACTTGCAGTCAAAGCCATGGATACTCAATATTCAATAATATCTGATAAAGAATACCACTGAAAAATGAGTGTTACAGCAGTTAATGCAAATAACTCTGTAAGTGATCTTAAGGCTCCTGCTTCAAGATTTAAGCCAGTCTCTGAAAATGGGGGATTAGGAGAAGATCCTTAGAGGAATTGTCTGTCCCTCTTCTGTTCCTTAGGCACTTCTTAGAGCTTCCTAAAAGCACATAATGATAGGTGCTGTTGGAGAAACAAAATGCTGAGGGTGGATTTTGCAGTTGTTGATTGGATCAGAGTAGATATATTCAAAACTTGACACAGAATGGGACCATGCATTCCCCCCAGTAGCTGTTAACACTTTGTATGCCAATTTGAGCATTGGCATGTTAAGCCAACACTTAAGCATTGCCAAGGAGAGCAAAGCACAGAATAGATGCCAGTCCGGGACCTGGATGCCTGGTCTCGGGGTCACTTTTGATGTGGGTGACACCATCTGCAGTAGTCACCAGGAGTCCTGCTGTGTGTCACAGCCGTGCTGTGTTCTGTCCTAACAGCTCTGTGGGTTCAGTGCACCTTGTTTGCAATAGGTCACCCTTTACTGCAGTCTTGGAGACATTGTAGCTCTCCTAAGTTGTCACCATAAGCATTTTGGCCTATGGAGTGGCTGCCTGCAGAGCAGCAGTACCTGAAGACAGTGCAAAAACTTCACCAGCTTTCCTGCTCAGCTTAGTTCCTGGCCAGAGACCTGCTTTGCCCCAGATGCTTGCTGGTTGATGAACTCATCCTGTGCTACCAGTGATGGGACCATGTGTGAAACAGTGCTGAAGTCTGAAGTCTGTTGCCCTATTTCACATGACTTTTGTGGTGAAGTAGCTGGTGCATGGGGGAGGCCATCTGGGAATGGGGAGATGGTGGGGTGCATGCTGCCTGCTCTAGAGCTGTCCTAGCAGGACAGTTTGTCCCCAGCCCCCATGTACTATTTTTTTCCCCTGCACTGCTGTGGTAAGACCAGAAGCCATAGGCCTGGCTTTTAATGGGTGGGTTGTAGGAGCTGTGACAGTAACCATTGCTGCAGTGTGGTTTGCTGTTCTCTGCAGGCTAGGACACACCATTCCTCCCACCACACAGCTTGGGTATGGCTTGGCTCTTATAAAAGCAGTCCTTGCTGTGCATGCCAGCATGCCGTTCTGCTACAGGCTGTTCCAAGAAACTCAGTGACTGCCTTGGACGTGTGCCTGCATCCTCCCCTCAGTAATTCCAGGTAAGGTCACGGTGGCCTGGCTCCCACGTGAGTGTACTGGGCATCCTGGAGGGTTCCTGTAGAGGAGAGGTGTGCCAGGCTCTGGCAGCTCTCCTCCTTCCAGCCACAGAGTAATAGGAATTTCCTAGTCCAAGCAGATGAAGGGTGCAGGGGGCACTGGTGCAGGGTCCCAAGCATTGAAGTTGTTGGACTTGTGGTGTGCCATGTGGCTTAGTCATCTGCTTACCTTGAGTGGTGTAGTGCTTGCACTGCCCTTCCCAGAAAGTCTCAGAGCCTGGGCCTGAGTGAGTGCAACAGCTTTATAGCCTGGCCAGGCACAGGAGAGGAGCAGTGGGGGTTGATAAGATAAAGGACCATCTCATGTTTCAAAAGCTAAGCTGTAGTTGCTGGTGTGGGTATAGAACTACCTTGAAGTGTCTGGTCGACAAGATCCTTACAGCTTACTCCAGTGACACAGTCCCCCATTCTTAAGTTCTTTGCTGTAAGACCTACTTGGTACATGATAGGAACTTCACTGGCTCTGCAGGGATGGGAGTAGGTGGCTGCTTCATCTTTTGCTTTCTAGTTCTGAGATCATGTGGGAATGTTTTCTTCATGTCAGGGAGGCTGGCAGTCTCTCCTGGCCTTGCCAGCAGCTGTGCTGGTTTCTGGTCAGGGTTGACAGCCCATGGAACCCTTCATCTTGCTGCTGTGACTGGTGCTTGTTCTGCAAGCGGGAGCTGCCCCAGCCCCTGCAAGGCAGCTCTTTGTGCACCACGGAGAGAGATGGGGGGCAAGAGGGAACCTGCTTTGCATCTCCTGAGCATGGGCAGCCCTTTACCCCCAGCCAGGGCCGTGATGTCACTGCCTTCTCCCTTCTCTCTCTCCAGCAACGTGGGGTGATGGTGGGGGGTGAGGATGGTGCCGGTGACAGCATGCTGGGAGCCAGCCCCGGGCTGCGTGGAGCTGCGGATGCGCTGCTTGCTGCAGGAGCGGTGAGCTGGTGCAGAACTGGCTGCTGTGGCTCATCCCGGCCCTTCAGGGGACAGAGCTGCTTTCTCAGGGGCAGGGGAAAGGCTGGTAAAAGACCTGGCAGGCAGTCAGGCTGCTATGGTTAAACACTGCAACGCCTGACAGGGAGCAGCACACTCTCCTGCCCCTATCTGTGCCCAGCCCTTGCTGGGGCTAAATGATGGCACAGCAGTGCCTGTCCCAGTATGGTCAAGCCAATCCTGGTGGCAGCTGTCCTAGCACCAGTCCTGGCACCAGTACTGCCCAGCACCAGTTGTCCTGGCCTCTTACTGTCTGGGCATCAGCTTGGCCCATTACAAGCTGGCCCAGCCCCAGCACAGGTTCTTCCAGCCCATGCTGCAGGGAGGGCAGCTGTAGCATGGTGGGGGGAAGAGCAGGGCCTAGTTTCTGGCCTTGCTTACTGAGCACCTGCTTGTGAGTGTGAGCAAAATGCTTCTTCCTCAGCTGCAGAAGCAGCACCCACACCTTGCCCAGCCATGCCAGGTACCTGGCAGGGGAGAAGCCAGCTCCTTCCTCCAGCACCCTCTTCCTTGCTGGAGCACCACAGCTGCTTGAAAACCTTCCCTCTTTTCCTGTTGAACATACACCACTGTGGGAATTGCTCCTGTGAGCATGGGAAGAGGACACAGCTGAGCTGAATAGGATGGGTCCAGCCTCAGTGACCAGTTACTAGCCCTGGACCAGAGCTGTCAGTGCAGGACCCCACTGTGGTTGGGAACTTGGGTTTCCTGGAGCTGGAGCCATCTGGGGCTGCAGCCAGCCAGGCACTGCTGCCCTGCCCTCAGAGCAACTGTGGTAGTTTGGATCCCTGTCTCAACAGCTAAGAGAAATAAAGCACGCATCCATGTCAAACATAATATATTTATAGCAAAAATAGGCTTTTTCTGTAGCTTCCATACACAAGGTTTTCTCCCTGTACATTTACGCAGTAAACAGGTCGACTGAAGCAGCGTGCACTGGGCTGACTTGACAGCTGCCCTTGCTTCAGGCTCCCACTTATCACAGGTGGACTCATTCCCCTTCTGTGGCTGCTCTCTGGAACCTGTACTGGATCCCTCGTACCTCCCCAGCCAGGGACTGCAGCCTGGGCAGGAAGCAGCCCTGGGATGGGGTGGAGGAGTGGTAGTGCTCCTGTGCAGAGGGCAAGGCTAGTATACCGGCTGCAGGGAGCCCAGGGAGTCCCCCAGCCCAGGTTCAAGGCAAAGCATCCTGTAGCTCACCTGTGCTGACTGCAGGTTCCTCTACCATCTTGCTAAGCAGCAAGTGACTGGGCACAGGACTTCAACCCTTTCATGATGGTAAGAAGATACAAGCCACGTTACAAGCCACGTTAACTCAGGAAGCCTCCCTTGTTCCTCCTGCCTTTCTGCAGAGAAGGGGCTTTGTGGCAAGCTCCTTGAGGACTGCTCAAAGTCCCCTGCAGAAACCTCCAGAGCCTGAATGCTGTCAGAAATCTTCTCACCCTGCTGTCAAGAGAAGGCAGAGCACTAGAGCACCCTGCCAGCAAGAGCTTCACAGTTTGGAGTTCACCTGGGTCATCGCTTGTCCGTCCCAGAGGGGTTTGGCACATAGACCTAAAGGGCAGGACACACAGGCAGCAAGCACATACCCTTCCAGTCCTGGGCTGGGAAAGGGCCCTTGCTCAGAGCCAGCACACATCTCTGCTTGATCATACAACTCAGGACAGTGCAATGCATCCGCAAGCTGCCCATGCTGTTTCCAAGCAAGATGCATCACCCCAACAAGGCCAGGTGCTGAAGGATGGCTGGCAAGCAGAGCAGCTGCTGTAGCTCCCCTCTGCCCTCCCTGCAGCAGCCGAGGCTCCTGCAGGACCTGGGCGAGGAGCATCCCTCTAAACCAGCTCCAGTCCCCTCCCATCTCCCTCTCCCCCTGCGTCTTTGGCAGTCCTCCTTGGACAGGTTCAAGTCTCCAGCATCACACCAACATCTCAGCAGCACGGACTTGCCTCACAGTTTGGTAATTGCACGTAATGGGGCTGTTCAGTGAGCCCCACAGGGGGAAAAGAAAAAAAAAAAAAAAAGAAAAAGGAACAAGGCAGTCAAGTAAACTAAATTGAGTAATCCCGCGCCATCTGTCCCAGCATGATGGGTCACGCATGAGTCCAGGAAGAAAGGATGCTGCCCGGCCCTGCCGTAGCGCAGCTCCCCACCATCTAGGAGATCATGTACTGCGTGATGGCCTGCAACGCGTACAGCAGCTCTGCCTGCATTCGGGCTTCCAGGATGAGCAGGTTCACGTGGACCTAAGGGGGAAGCAAGAGAGGTTCAGGCAGCCACAGTGTGCTGTGGGCAGCACTGCAAGCAAGCACCCACCTGAGCTAGGGAGTCTTTTGTCATGGGGACAAAAATGCCACCAATTTTTCCAGCACAGGCAGCTGCCCTTTTTGCCTCCTCCCAGTCCTGCAGGTTGTGGTTGCCTCCCAGAGCCACATGCTGGGGAGTCCCCAACACACTTGGCACCAGAATGCCGGGCTGGCACCAGCACAGTCCCTGCCTCTCACAGCAGCCACTCCTGCGAGTTACGGCTGGACCGAGGGCTCACCGGGAGGCACTCACTGATGGGGTAATGGCCTTGGAAATCCCCACGCTGCTAGTAGCCTCTGTGCCCATCACACTGTGGGCAGCCCCTTGCCACCCAGCCAGTTTCCATTTCCCCCCAAGCTTCCTCAGACTGGTTTGGTGCCTCAAAGGTTTCCCATACACCCCCTGAAGCTCCCCAGCCTGCACTCTCCCGGCCCCACCACAACCAGTCAGAGCCAGGGGCCAGCTGTCCCACCTTTTCACTGTGCTTGAACTGCTTCCAGAACCTGTCAAACATTTCTGGGTTTGTCTTCTCTGGGTAGCAGGTTACAGTTTTAATGTAAACTTTGAGCATTCGCTCCAGGAGCTGATTCACTTCTGCATAGTCGTAATCATCGTACCTGTGGGGAGCACAGGGGAGAGTCACAGCCAGCACCGTGTCCCTGCAGAGCACCTCACTCATGGTCTGCCTGGGGCATGGCCCAACCACAGGGCAGAGGGACACACAGCAGTGGCCACCAGGCACTGAAGCCCCATCCCTGAAGTGCCCTGCCCTGGCCACAGCAGCTGAGCAACTCTTCTCTGAGTGGCCCAACATCCAGGCAGGTGATTCACCTCTGTCTCTTTTCCAAGCCCATCTGCAAGACAGCCTGAGTGCCCTACCCTCCTCCCACCTGGGCCAGCTCCATTTTCTCCCCTGGACCCTGAGGTTGGTTTCCCTACCTAATGCCAAACATGCAGTGGATGTAGTTCCAGATGCCTCGCTTAAAGACGGAGGGTTCACAACCCTGTCGCTTGGCCATGGCACTGCTTTGCAGACCATCCACCATCCGAAACTTCTCATCCAGGAGATGCCCAATGTCAGAGTAGAGCCGGTTGACCAGTGAGAAGCCATGGTCTTCCCAGGAGTAATCCTGTTGAGCACAGCAAGAGGCTTTCACAACTGCAAAAAGGAGCCCAGGGCATGTTCCCAGGAAGAAGGGCTGGAGACCTCAGAATGCAGAATTCAATAGGTTTATTCTGGGGATGGCTCTGCCACAAACCACAACATCCATCATTAGGCAGCTTTTGAATGATTTCGACCCTTGCCTCCATGAGGGTGATGTGAAAAAATGTCAGCAGCCCTTGGAAACAGAAGTCACTGGTCACCTCCCTCTCCCCAACCCTAGTGGGGCAGGTCCCCTCTCAGACCTGAGCTCCCCCGCTCAGGCATTTTGCAAAAGCAGTCGTGCCAGATCCAAGCTGCACAGGCACCCTCATGACCGTCTGCTCCCCACCAGGAGTGGAGAGGAGAGGCGGCAGCCTGGGCTGCTGCCTGCCAAGAGAGCAGGAACCTCACCTGGACTCTGAATACCTGCGTCTGATCCTCATCACGCCGGGCAAAGTCCTGGTATCCAAAGTCAGGGTCCTGCATGTAGCATGCAAGGTTGGTGGCACCGGTGACTTCCCCGTCAGTATCTGTGAGAGGAGAGCACCCCACAGATGGGTCAGAGCGATGCTCAGCTGCCCTGTTCCCAGCCGTAGCAGGTGTCAAAAGCCAGGCCTTGCTGCACCTATTTGGGAAGTGCCACTGCCTTCTTCACCCACCACCAGCATCCCAGGAGCCCCTCACAGAAAACAGACATATAGATATGGGGGAGCAGCACCCAGGTATGCCATATGGACTCCCATGCTGCACACCCACCTCCGCTCCCTGCCCCTCACCTTCCTCTCGGTCCTGCTGCAGCAGCCTCGTCTCCTCCCTGCCCTCGGTCTCCACGTGGATCCTCTGCATGCGTTCACGGAGGGAATCCAGCTCCATGCAGGAGTCCAGGGACTGCACAGACACAGGCGCAGGGGTGAGGGCAGCGGTCCTGGCTGTGCCCCTCATTCCCCTGTGAACCCACCCTCAGGGGCTCACCCTCTTGCGGTTGATGCGCAGCAGCTCCTGGCTGCAGCCGTTGCCGGCAGTGGCTTCGCAGAAGCACTGGTTCCCAGGTGATGAGGCCTTCAGCGAGCCTCGGCCCCCCAGCCCTTCGTCCTGCTCACAGCCACAGCCAAAGACAAAGCTGGCGAGCGCGTGGCAGTGCACCAGGAGGACGACGGCATGCACCAGCTCCGCCAGTGACCAGCTCCACTCGCTGATTTTCAGCAGCTTCTGCAAGACATGGACAGACCAGCAATGTGACACAGACAGGCGAGCAGGGTGCCGGCACCCCCTGGGGATGCTGCTGTCCCCACTGCTGCCCCGTCCCTGGCTGATAGCCCCCCCTAATACCTCAATGTGTTCCTTGGTGATGAGCCATGGCCGGTGTGCCAGGATCTTGTTGATCTCATTGAGGTTGCGGAGTTTGGGGGGGATGAAGTCAAGGCCGCGCAGCCACTGGGGATCACCCCCTGCCCGCAGGAACTGCAGCACGTGCAGGTTCACCAGGTACCGGCACTGGTGCCGAGCAGCTGCCTGCAAGAGCAGCATGTCAGCATCCCCACACCACACTGGCCTGGGGACCTCACGCCCACCTCTTGCCCAACCTCCAGGACATCATGGTTCTGGCCTCTGCAGAGAAGCCTGTGGCACAGGCTGTCTGGTGGAGGGAGAGCGGGGAGCTGAGCGGGGCTGAGCAGAGGCCCCCGTCCCCTCTGGCAGCTCCCAGTGGGGCTCACCATGATGGCGATGTAGTGCCGGCAGTCGAAGGGCAGCGGGCCATCCATGTGCATCAGGTAATGCTGCGTCTTGAGGAAGCTGTCAAGGTACTGCGGGTGGTAGCCCATCTGCTGGGTCACCGCCTCCAGCCGCCCCCGGCTTGCCAGCACTTTCACGAAGAGGAACTGGGGACGCTCAGGGTCACTGCTGGACATCTTCACTACCTGTGGGGAATGCACTCTGCTGAGCTGTCCCTGAAGCAGTCCCTGCTGCAGCAGCCCACACCAGCCAAGCCTGGGCTCTGCGAGGGGAAGGGACTCCCTCTCCCAGCTTGGTGCTCCCAGATGGACACCATTGGGTCAGAAGCCACCGCAGAGGGCTCAGGCTGGGGAGGTGGGCAGAGCACTGCTCGGCAGGATCACTGCTTTCAGGACAGCCTGCAAGAAACACAGGCTGGTCTCTGCCTGGAAGGGCATTGCCTGGTGAGTGGAAGCAAAGGGCAAACTAGGAGTGATGTTTCCTTGCAGCCTTAGATGCAAAGCTGGAGCCTGAGAAACGTGACAGATGAAATACCTCCCAGAACAGAGCAGCCCATCATCCTTACTGCCAGGCCACTGCACTGCTACCACCGAGCCCTCCCACCCAGCACTGGGAGTGGGGGGAGAGCTGAGCTGCTCTTGGGCTCCTGCCCCAACAAGCCAAGGGGCAAGAGATGTCCTGGCAGCCACCATGCAGTCGGGAGCACACGAAGGAACTCAGAGGTCTCCCCATGTGCTGCCCAAGGAGACAGCATGGGAGCAGGTCCTGGAGCACACAGGTGTGTGGCACAGCTGGTGCCGGCTGTGCCCACTCGTGAAAACACAGACTGACAACTTGGCAAGGGGGGTCCATACATTCCCAGCAGTGCCTGCCCCAGCCCTGAACCAGTGCCCCAGCCAAGCACAACCCCGAGCCACACTACCCCTGTCCCTCCTGAGAGGTTGGTGGGAGCAGAGGGTGGGAATGTGCAAAACACACCTGGGCAGCTGCTGCATCCCCATGGCCCCGTTGCCACACCTCCCACCTGACAGTGGGGTCTGCACCCGCAGCCCACCTGCACCAAGGTACGGGCACAGCAGGTACTAACCCTTGTCACACAGAAAGTCACAGCTCCCACTTGTGCATGGGAGCCCAAGGAGCACCCTCAGATGTAGAGGGTGTACCTCCCCTCTGAGGCTGGAACCAAAATCTCCCCTGGAAGTAACTGGCCCTGCTGATACTGCCATCACCTTCCTCTCACCCAAAGGCTGGTGACCACAGTGGCATGGCAGTAAACCAGGAGCACATCTGCAAACCAGTCCCTGCTCCACCACGAGCCCGAGTTGACACTGCTGACCAGGACACACACACAGCCCTCGGAGCCCCGACCAGGAACCCCTATGGCTTGCCAGCAGCTATCTTGCCAATCAGAGAGCTACAGCAGGCATTAATTTCTGCAGTAGCTCGGCGTGCCGCCATAAGGTGACCCAGAAGGTTGGAGCAGCACTGATGGGGACGGAAAAGCCATAGGGCACAAAGCAGAGCACCCCGGGGTGAGGAGGAGGCAGAGCTGGGCTGAGCCATGCAGCAGCGCCAAGCAGGCGCACCCGCAGAGGCAGCGCAGGAAGCAGCTCTGGTTATTTTCTACCGTCCTGCACTTCTGACAAACACACCATCACTGAGTTGTCAAGAGATGTACTTGATACCATTTGGAGATTCCTCTTAGCTTTTGTCCAAAGAGGTCCAAAAAACCCACCCAAACCCCAAATTAAAATGGGGAGGGATGAAGAACACTGGCTGCTCTGTCCCATGGGAGAAGATATAAACCAGAAGTAACCTGAAAAAGTCCCCCACAAAGTCCCTCTGCTCATGGAAATGAGCTGCCCTGAGGACACCCATGAGGCTACAGCCACCGGTCTTCTTCTGGTGGGCAGAGGTGGAGGAGCTGGGAGCCCTTGGGCTCCCTCCTGGGTGGAGGCGGGCCCCAGCAAGGAGCCGTGGGACCAGCCCAGGGCTCTGCCTCCGGGGCCACCAGCTTTCCTCGCTCAGCAAGTTCAGGTGGCGATAGACCAAGGCACCAGGCAGACATGGCTTGGGAGGGGAGAAAGATGGAAGGTTGCAGGGCAGCCCCCCACCTCAACCCCCTTCCCCTGGCAGGCTCTCCTGCCTGCTCCCCGCAGCACCGGCTCAGACCAGGGTCTCTCCCACCAGCACCACCAGCCACATCACCCTGGCCTTGCTTCCCCAACCTCTCGCATTGTCCCCAGTGCCACCTTCCTCGCCCTCCCCGGCCATAACTCTCCTCCTCCCCTACAGCCACTCGCAGCCCTGGGCAGCGGGAGCATCGCCCCCCTCCCCTGCGGCGGGGGCTTTAGTGTGTCCAAGCTCCCTGAATCCCAGCGGGCAGCCCGACCCCCGTACCCACCACCAATCTCACCCCCCTCCCTGCCCGGGCTGGTGCTGCCGGGGAAACGACGTCCCGGTGCTGCCCGGCCCGCCAATCGCCGGGCAGCAGTTTGCATGTAAAGCAGGCAGGAGGATGGAGGAGCCCAGCCGGTCCTGCGCCTTGCCACCGAGAGCAAGCCCGGGCAGCTCCGGGAGCCACGGGAGAGGGACCGGGGAGCCTCACCTCGCCCCCGCCACACCCGGCCGGGAAAGACTCCGCAGTGTGAGCCCCCTCCCACCACCACCCCCCCGGGGCTCCATCCCTCCGAGAGGGGAGACCGCGGCTCCGCCGGTACCGGTGGCTCCGCCTGTGATGCTCGCTGGGGACGCGACAGCGGCGGGCACCTCTCGCCCGACCCCCCACCCCGGTTCTCGAGGGGACGGTAGAAGTGCTAGTGTCCGCGGGAGGGGTCCCCACGGCGGTGCCGGGCCCGGTGCTGGCGGCCGGTAACCGGG